AAATGTAAATTAAAAATTGTTTTCTTGTGCCCAATAATGCATAATTTCATTTGATAAACACGTTTAGATTGAATGGTAATTTATAATCAGTCACAAGAACGTCGAATCTGAATCACTTGAAAAAAACACAGTGGTGCTTAACTTTTTTCCAGGTGTATATTTGAATCTATTTGGAAGATGTCACAGCAACAATCAAATGCCACTTTTGACATTGGCAGTAGTTTTTAGGCCAATATCTAGTAACAGTTAACTCCATGACAATTTTGTTTAGGTTTACACAAGTTCTACTCTTGTTGACTTCTAAAAGTACAACTTCACCATTCACAAGGCATTTTCCTTACAGGTTTTCCTACTCCAAAGTAGAAACAGTTACTTGAAAGTACAAGAGGAATTAATGAAATATAATGAATTCTTCAGTTCTGATGGACTTAATTTTACAAAAGTAAATATATTTTATAAAATGCACACTGTAATAGTTAAAAATCATAAAATTAGATCCCACTAATTTCCTTCCACTAATAAATTAATATTTATTTTCTAAATAATTATCTCTCTTTAATTAATGTTCAGTTTTCTGTACACTTGCACTGTTCAAGTAACATTTAGGACATATTGTTTTATAAAATTATGTAAAAAATTTAAGTGAATAAAATGTAAATAAGCATGAAAGATAACTAAAATTGAATTATTTTAAATGCACATAAAAAATAATGAGAACCAATGTAGAAGTATGATCTCAAAATTTTACACTGACTGGATGCCTTAACAACTGCAATTGTCTACTTCTAGACCTACAAACTTACTTTGAATGTCAGTGTAACAAATTACATTAGGCTTATTAAAATCTGTACCACAATTAAATTAAGATACAGTATCATAGAGATTTACAAATGAACTGGAATATACTATCAACAAATACTATACTTTTGCAATCTTGTGATATAATTGATTAATTTGAGGACTTCTAATCACAGGAATATGGGCACATGACCTATTGAATAGGATATAAATTAAATTAAGACAATGTTATAAATGTTAAGGATTATCATGTCTAGAATGCTTTCCAAGCTTTTTAAAATATTATGAACTTCATATTAAAACTGGCTTAAAAGCTGATATGTGAAATTTTAAAGTAAAAACATTATATTCCTATCGGTGTGGAAGAACTTATATTTTTCATTTCTGTAATCATTGAACAATTTACAATTAAATACATATTTTAAAAATAAAACTAGTGATTTAAAAAGGTTATAGAAATTTGTAACTCTTTTAACATGTACTTTGTCTAGAAAATTAAAAATTAGCATGAAAAAATTATTTAAAAAAGCTGTCATACAGTGTTAAAACTAAAGTATTATACAAGTCTGAGAAACATCTTAAAAGTCTAATAGCACACCTGCTTCTTTTCCACACTCTGTCATAGCTCCTACTACGGTGTCTGTAATCCCGACTGCGGCTACAGGACCTACTTCTTTCTCTGCTGCGGCTTCTGTGACTACGGTTTTCTCTGCTCCTTCTACCACGATCAATTCTTTCCCTGCTTCTGGTACGGCTTCTACTCCTTCGACTTCTTCTACTATGACTTCGACTCCTTCGGCTCCTTCTACTGCTTCTACTATGGCTTCTGCTCCTCCGACTTCTTCTACTACTCCTGCTTCGGCTTCTACTCCTGCTCCTACTCTTTCGACTTCTTTTACCACTTCTGTTTCTATTAAAATGATTCCTTAAATGTTAATTACAATTTAAAAATCACTGCTAAAGATGTTCATTCATGATTTTATATTCCACAAAATAGACAAATCTACAATTTTCAGTTTACTACCAGTCTGATAGCAGGTAAATAAAACATAAAATTCACAATTATACTCAGATATACAACACCAGAAGCAATAACCATAACTTGCTTAAACTACTATCTTGTTTATGTAACAGAACCAATGACTTTTTTTTACTGATAAAACTCATCTTCATTAAGTTTAATTGCATAAACCATTGTGCAAGTCTGTCAGAATATATTTTGTATGATAAAACAATAAAATATTAAATTTCACTTTACATTTTCATTTTTTAGTAGTTTTATTTTCACTAAATACAAATTAGTTGTGCAACTAAATTAACAATGTAAACTGATCACAGCATTTCATCTTAACAAATACATTGTAAAATCACAAATCAAAGACCCATAAGTAAATGATTTCTGTATAAATCCTATATAGTATTCACTAATTTTCAATGGCAATGTTACCACAGCTCAGAGACTATCTGTAAGCAGCATAGTTTTGTGCTACATTCCTGTGTTTGCCCAGTTCAAAATGTGAATGTGAAAGATAGTAGACGACTGTTCTGACAAACACTTCATTTTCTAACTGGCACAAACTGTACGGCATTTTCTTAATGAAACTGTGTCACAACCCTCTAAATTACAAATGATAATTAAACATCATTTACATCTCAAATTACTACTGTTTCTTGGGCATGGCATAATTCCAAAACTATACAAAAATTTAAATTTCAACTTGTATATAACATACAATATAAATTATTAAATTTTATTGCCCACTTATACATTAAACTTACAATCCTCTTAAAAAAATTAATCAAGCAATTGTTTGTGTGTTAGAATAACATCACACTGACTAGTTATGCCATGCTCCTTATAAGACCCAATCCATAACACATTAGTGAAATTGAAGTGCAAAACAGTCATGGGGAATACATTTCCAGAGCTTGCATATGTTGCCACATGTAAACATTACATATGCTGTTTAAAATCATCTCTGACTTTATTTCCTGTATGTAAGCTGACAGTGCTATCAGATGTGTCTGTTTGTTTGCAGATAAGTCTTCAAACAGTTTTTCTCCATGAATGTATAGCACTTGTAAAGTTTTCTATAGCTTTACCATAAAGTGTTTTTGTTGTGTTTTTATAAGCTTGAAAGAGCAAATCAGAACTATGGCAACATAATCGGCACTTCTCAATCAAGTTTTTATCATATTTCATTAAATCAACTGTAAACAGCCTTTAATATTTTAAAAATTGTGGATTCAACAACCCTACACTTATAATGTATATTTTATATATATGCAATCTATAAATAAATCAAAGGTCCAATGTACAGTTTGAACATCTTAAATTCTCATTTATAAAACTATCAATAAACTGCCATGTCATCTTGTGTAATGTACCTGTATATAAACCAACAAAAAGAGCTTATTTTCATTTTCAAGCTTGCAACAGACCTTTTGAAATCAGCAGCAATATACATTGTACTAGACCACTTGAATATGTAATGTGTTGGTAAACAAAGTTGATGTTCATACTATTTAACAATTCTTTTTTATCCTAATTATACCTTAGTTAGAAAGGCAGTTATATTACAGTCATTTCTGGACATTATTTTAGTAAAAAATTTATTATGATCTTCATCACTGATTGTCGAGACAAGAAGCTTTGGGTAGGAAAAGAGAGGCTGTACTAACAAAATCTAATCAATAACACCTTAGATGTGAAAAAAAAAGTATTGAGTGTGTAACTTGAAGGAATGAACTCAAAATTAGTATCAAAACTGGTGGCTACACTTATAAGAATTTTACAGCAAATATTCATTCATTAATTAGCCAGGCTGCATTTTTTGTTCACCTTTGGGCATGATGGTGGGTAAAACAAAATATGTGGTCAAGCTAACTAATGAATGAATATTTCCTGCAAAATTATTATCAATGCCATAAGTGTAGCTACCAGTTTGGTTGCCAATTTTGACTTCATTCCTTTAAGTCACATGCTCAATCCTTTTTTTTGGCCACACCTTTTTTTTCACACCCAAGGTGTTTTTAACTAGATATCATGACTTTTTGTCAATACACACCAACAAACCACAACAAGTGACACTGGACAGTAACCAACATTAGCTTTATGATCACAACCCTATACTTTACAGAACCAACCAGATTCTTTATAAAATATATGATGGTAGTTTTTCCTCTCTAAAGCCATATTAACTAGATTAACAGTTTCTTATTATCACAACATGCACTCGGTACAGCCACATCAAGCATCATTATTTACATTAATATCACTTGATGCTTAAACACTTTTTAATTAGAAAAAATTCATAAAATGTACAAAATTTGTGCTTAAAGTTGGCAATGAATAATCAATAATAACCATCCATCTGTATGAATTTTTTTGAAAACTTGAGCTAGAAACAGTTATTCTAGTTTGCTTGGCCTAAACAATACTAATGCATCTGCAAGTTCTTTCACCTTATAGTTTTGCTGCTCTGAATCAGCTGACTTTAATTTGATTGATAAAAAACTAAAACTGGTCCACCTTTACTATTAGGGGAAACTGTTGTAAAAATGTGGTCAAAATAGAGTGGTTTTTGTTGAATAACTATGCACGTATGGCTTATATTTACACCAAATGAAACACCTAATTGTAGTTTGTAAAGATCTATTAGTGTACCATGTTTGAAAAAAAATCCCTGAAAGTTATTTATGTTTTTCTATCAAATATGGGTTCCTTACTTTCAGTGCAAAGAAAAAAAAAAGAGGAAGAAATTAAACCAAAATTGGAGATTTTACATATCATGTATTTCTTAATGGATTGCCTTGAAATTTGGTATGTGAAGTAAGGGTTCAGTTGAGCACATCCACTGAAATTTTGATAGTTTGGATTACCACAGTTCGAGCTACAGAAAGTGGAAAATCGCTAAACTATCACTGCTATCCTGCAGGTTGTTTTGGCCGCACGACACACTACCATGTGTCTTCATCAATGGAAGGGAATGAAATTTGTTCAAGATACAAAACATGGATAAATAGAAAATATATATATATATTTTGGTATGGGCAGTAAAATTCTAAAATGTAAGTAAGTCTGTTACTTGCAGGTAATCAGACTCCCTTCAGCTGCAGAGAAATGTAAGATTGAAATTTGTTTTCATTTTTCCCTGCAAATTATGCTAACCTAATGTAAAAGATGACATAATATAAATTCTAAATTATTTTCAGTTAAAAGATTATTAAAACATTCTTAGAATTATTAATTTTAACTAAATTTTAAAACTGATATACATGCAGCTAAACATTCGACACCTGAAATGTACTTGGTGGTACAGATACAATAAATGTAATTTTATGCCAATAGCTTTAATCTACTTAGTAGTCAAAGTAAAAGAACTGCTTTATTTTTAATAAAATACTCACAAAAATAAATTTTTCAGTTAATTATTTTCAAATATCTATTAGGCACATCATAAAAGTGTATAAACATAATACAAGCATACACCTACCTACTGTTTTCTTTATCAGACACAGAACCATCACATGAAGTACTCAAATTCACCTGGAATAGAGAAAAATGTTCATCTTTATTATCAAAAATTGTTGAATATGACAACTTAGTGATAATTTAAGTCTGTATTCAATTACACATGCTTTTCTTACTCAAAATCAAAAAAGCTCCTTGAACATATCTTTCACATAAACAGTCACAGCCAATTTCAAGAATCACACACTTGCAACTGCACATTTTGTTGTATCATTTAGTAAATCATGGCATATTACTTCATTCTTGCAACAAAAAATACTTTTTATCATGACAAAATTACCAATTTGTTATTTTTATGATAACGTAATTTTACGGCAAACTAGAAAACGTGTATGTAAAAAGAAACAGTCACTTTTTTTTGGTAGGAATCATTTTTTGCACAGTAACAAATTGTATAAATATTTGTACAATAACATTCAGAAATACATACAAATATTAACTTAATGTAAAATAACCACTTACACATACCATTCTGCAATGATCTAAAAAAAGGAAAACACGGAATATCACTAGTTAAAGTTAACACAATATCAAGTTTACCTATATATTTCAGCATCTTTAAGCATGGAGAAATTACAGTATTTAAAAGTGACTATATAATGAAGAATCATTTCCAATTTTAACTAATGTTTCTTAAGCATTAATCTGTGATTTAAAAAATTTGAATTTTTCATAACTGGGTTTAAACTACTGAATACATAAAGTAATAAAATAAGAACATTAGTAAATTAAGCAAACCTTGGATATTTTACTTACATCAGGAAAATAAAATAAAATTTTACATACAATACAACAAAAACACAGCAAGATCACATTTTTCAGTTTCTGTAAAAACTGACCTTCAATTGCTTTCTATTTACTGAGCTTGATATTCTAATGTTTTCTTCAATTGTGATATCAACCAAACTATTTGGTAGCTATCTTTTCCTTATTTCACAACAAAAGTACAGTGCAAGTGATTGGGCTTGATAGTAGTTCACACAAGTTAACACTACAAGTTATGAACTGCAGCAAATTTATCTACCAAATAATCATATTATGGCAATTTTCTTTTTTTTTATGTAAAAAAATTATGTATTTTCCTTTCAACCTGATATGAAAATTGCATAAACACAGTTTAAAAGCCCATGTCAGTAACTTTTCAATATATTTTATGTTTTCTTTTATGGTAAGCTGTTAGAGATGATTCAAACAAAAGAAATAAAAAAAAAAACTCCCATTAAGCAACATTATTTCTTGATTCAAGTTTTACTTAGTGTTGAGGCATTGAATTCTTATATTGATATTAATTTCTTATAATTTATAATTATAAAACACCATTTCAACATACCTGAGAACAACTGTTTCCCCCACCAATTGTTTTTTAAAATATAAATACATAAAATACTTTAAAAAAAACTTTACACTACAAACTACGTCCCAAGTTACCACATCGTACTTTCCAATTGAGTACAAAGGATGTTCACGTCAATGATGGGTCTACAAGACAAAGCAGAACATTGTAAGAATTGTGATAATAGCTAGACTTAAAAAATTCAGACTTAATCTTGCTTTACTTAAATAAGACAAAAAAATTAAGCATTTGGTATCATAATTATACAAGGTTTAACTCCACAAGAATTGTACAATTTTTCTATCTCGTCTCCGAAAAATGCCTTATTCTATATTTGAAAAAAATTGAATGCCTATATTTGTACAGATACTTTTCAAGTGCAATGGAACATTAGAATGATTAATTATTTCAGTATTCAGAGAAATACAGATGGTCCAAAATTATCTTTCATATTTCAAGATTTAATAATTAACTAACTAATGAAATACAACCAAGCAGCTTTCAAAATCTTGTAGCCCAACTCAAACAGTTTTCATTGACATGTCAGTAGACTTCTACATATTCACCACTAGTGGCTTTCAGTATGTCTACACAATATTCGTTTTTTTGGTCCACATTCACTACAACATGTCTACAGTTACAATGACAATGCCGTCCATTATCCTGGTCTATAGCTCCATGATGTTTGCTATAGGTGTGCAATACATGATATCCTTAACATACCTCCATACATCTTTCTTGTACTACCATCTGTAATTATGCTGCACCATAGTCACTGACTTGGTCTCTGCAAGCCAAATGACACATTAAGCCTTTTCTTGCAAAGTTATGATTTTATGGGGTAATACTACTCACTGGGACGAAAAAGAAAAACATGACAATAAAAACTGTTTGAGTCGGGCTACAAGATGTTGAAAACTGCATGGTTGTATTTCCTTAGTTTTCGACCACCCTTTACATTGATTTTACAGATTGCATCTTAAAATAAATCAAAATTCATCTAACCTTTTCACCATAAGCTTAGTCAGAACATCTCAAGATGCCATAAAATTTCTATAAAGTGTGCAAGTCTTAAACTCTGTTGAAACATCCTTTAATCATTGTTTCAAACATATCAAAGATCATGTCAAAGAAATAATATACTTGGTTATAGAAATTAAGCAGTTTCTAAAGTGCACATTGATCACTTAAGAAAATGTATATCTTATATATAAGTTTCTTGAAAGTCAATACATCATCATCAGTGTCCCAGGGAATGTAAAGATGTTTAAGGAAAATACTAATGCATTTTACATATCACTTGATGAAAAACTATGCTGTTCAAAGGTACTTGTAATGACAGATGTAACTAGAAGCAAATATGCATAAAAGGAAAAAAAATTATAAAGTTTTGTGGAAAAGTGTAAGCAATACTTAACAGACAGTAGGTTGGGTATTGCAATTCAACTCAAAGCAATCAGAAGTTGTTATAATCTTTCATTTTAAATGTTATAACAGTGAATGTCAAAACATTATGGAATTCTTTAATAAAATTAAGTACAATACACATGATAGTCATATACATATGATACAACTTACAACTATGTGACACCCATTTTTTCAATTTTTTGTTGTTTTTTTTTACGTATAACTTTAATATGATAATAGTAGCTTTAACAAAGTTTATATGGTAACATTACAAAATAATCCAAAATATTTTTTTAGATAATCAGTTTAAAAGATACCGTTTTTTCTGTTAGGAAGCACTTTTAACAAAACAATTCTACTATAAAATTAAGTAACAAAAAATGTTTTTCAAGGAAAGTTTCAAGATTTTATAAACTGAAGCATTACTATTAACTTCTGATCAAACCAAACTACCTGCATACATAAGTATATATATACTTAGAAATAAGCAGAGCTAATTAAATATAATATTTAAACTATATTAGATTTAATACTTATAATGATTAGAATGCATTGCTTTATCAATTGAGTACCTTCACTTCTAATGATATGTTCAAACTTTCAAAAGGTACTGAAATCTGGATATTACTGACAAAACTGCTGATATTTGTTTTATAAGCATCAGGCATTCCTTTACATACAATAATAGGCTGAAACTATTACTTAGTAGAAGCCACTTCACTTATTATAACTAGTTGGTAATTCCAGATAACACAAATGCAATGAAAAGTATGCATTTGCACAAACATCTTAATTCAGCTAAAACTACACATAGATAAACTAGTGTCAAACAAGTATTTATTATGTAATCTAAAATTCTAAATCATAACAAAACATATAAAAACATACCTTCTTATATGGAGCCTCAAGCAGAGCTTCAACATCTATATCAACCTCACCCATCATTCCTCCAGCTGTATAAAAAAAAATTGGTTAGAACTTGCAAAAAAAAGGAGGAGATACTGAAATCTTTACTTCCACTAAACAAAATAATTACCTCTTATTGATAAATTCATTGTAATAAACACTAATAGTAAACACGGCATAATTTTTCAATTTCAAGTAAGTTATGTATTATCTAAATGTAGTTTTAGAGTTATTAATAAGAACTTCTAACTGATGGTGTGGTATGCATGGTCCCATCTTCAAAAGTAACATAGGGTTATTTAAAATTATTTAGTTTTTAAATTGTTATAGCAGCAACATGTGGTCCATGGTGTGTAACCTTATCTTGTTCTACTACTTTCAGTCCTTTGTTCTTTTGTTAGATGACATCCTCTGCCTGCAAGGATATTTCAGTGTTGCATCTTAAGCCTTGGGGTTGAACTAGTTAAATCTGGAATATCCCTTGCTGGTCAAACTATGATGTCAACTACAACTTATTGGGATACAGTTTACATAGTAGGGGTTGAGATGCTATTTATATTAGCAAACTGCTTAACAGCAAGTGCTGTGAAGTGGATTGAGTTATTGAAATAAAATGTTTTATCAATTTTAATTCTGTCACAACAAATCAAAATTAGTGTATGGGTTTAGTAACACAATTACTTCTTAATTTTAACATCATATATTTTATTTTTATTATTCAGAATAACTAACATTAGTAAGCTAGTTTTCTTGATAAAGAATATAAATTATAGCACTAAATGACTACATCATCTATACCAGTGGTTCCCAAACTTTAACATCCCACAAACCCCTTTCAAGAAAATGCCAATTCTCCAGGGACTTTCTCCCTTATACAAGTATAAATTTAAAAACAGTGATCTCGGAAATATAAAATTTGTTTTTATTTATTATTACATTATGAAAATAACAACACTCATCCAAGATTTTACTTTCATAACTTGTATCACTTTGATTAACCCTAAACTTGTTCTTCATCTTAATTTCAAATAAAAACACTAGCAGTCTATTTAATTTTAAAAACAGCAAAAAATACCCCCTCACTTTTCCATTTCTCATGGGCATTCTTGAAATTATAATTTACTCAGCATGATGGATGTGCACAAGCCATTAGACTTTTTTCCAAGAGCCCCTGAAACATTTTGCAAACACTAAAAGATTCACAAGCCACAGTTTGGGAATCACCAATCTATACTATTTTAAGTTAGCTTATGTCTATATATCTGTCTATAAAAACAACAAGTCTAGTTTCCAACTTCTGATAACCATAAAACTTTCTGGGCATTTTGAGTATGCTCCAGAGAAGTTCCAAAACCCCTTTACTTAGTTCATTTTCCCATCATAACAAGTTCGACAGCTACATTAATTTTCTTGTTGCTTCTGCCTTATTGCAAGTTTTAAGTCATCCCATTTTCTTTTTCCATAAAATGAATATAAATCAGAATATTAAAAAATTGAAATTTGGGAAATATATTTACTTAAAAGGGATACTAATTTTCATTCAGCATTCAAAGCAAAGAAAATAAATGCTGCAAGTGGTGTGCGTACCTTTACTAGGAGGAAAATAATAGCACCCATTTACCCTTTAAAGCAACTTTGAATCTATAATATTAAACATGATTATTACATACAATGCAAAAAAAGGGTTAATAAAACAAAAAACACCATTAGCTATATTATAAAGCCAACAACTTTCAATGAATAAGCTCATAATACATTTGTTTTACTTGAGAATGTTAGTTATGTAATACTACTGATAAAAAGAATCTTGAAATTAACAACCCCAAGACTATTGTCCAATAAGTAAAAGGACTATCAGAAATACTATTTTCTGATATATTTCGGTATTTTTTCAATTAAAAATATGAACAGAAATGACAGCAAGGAAAGGTGATAAATACATGAATTTATAATATACATATTCAATATTCAAACTTTTATTTGCAATAGCAGTATTTTCTTTACACCTTTTGTACAAATATGACTTTTTTCTCTCCATCACCATGAGAATATGGAAAACTTGTCACTAAATATTAAATTGAAAAATGATTTTCTTTTGTGTGTCGTGATTTATTGGCTTAACCCTATCGCCCCATGTACCCTTTACTGCATATGACACAAGGTTTTAGTGTCATACACTCAACATTTTATTAAACCACCTTTTGTTTATGTTATACCAATTAGAATAGCATAAAATCTTAGCTAATAATACATATTTTAATAGTGTACAAGTTTTAAGTTCTTAATTCTACAAGGAAACATTTTTTTAAATCCTGAATTTCCACTATGTGACCCATGTGACACATTTTGTCTTAGCATGTCGTCATCCCTATTTTATTCATCACCCCTTGAAAATGTACGAAGTTAAGGAAATTAAACGTAAAATACTCTCTATAAAATTGTTATTGCTCAATCAAACCATAATTTTTATAGCCTTCAATTTTGTTTGGTTCCAGAGCTATTGAATAGAAAATCAGACCCTTCTGCCACACCCACCTATCACATCCTCTCTTTCACAATTCATTGATAGTTCTCTCTTACATTTCATTATATATTACCTATAACCAATAGAAAGTCAAGGTTTTCATCTATCAAATGATGTACTGTATAACATTGTATTCTGAATAGAATATCGTCATAGTACACGATTCGTTCTCAAGGGAAAGTTAACGACTAGCTTGGATGAATTTGTAACTGTTCTTTTCTCATAGTTAAGAAAGCCAGGAAAATTTTGAGAGGTAAGTGAATTTGTCTACTTTTTGTATGTTATTAGTCTATATTATTTGGTGTATTATTTAATTAAATAAAAAGTGTTAAGTGTATTACTATAATTGCTATAAAATAATTAGGCTTAACCTGTCCTTGACAATTGAGGGCAAGAAAAAAAAGATTGGGAAAGTACATTATTTCTTGTTTTTCATATTTATTCTTTATTTATTATTATAAAAGTTACTTAAATCTAAAAATATGGATCTTTTTAAGTTATTTAATACTAGATTAGGTAAAATAAGTAATAATAATAATAATATAATTAAAATAGTTCACGAAGCACGCATGCAAGCAGCTTGTGGGTAATTTAATTCAATAGCATAACGTGAGCTGCATGTTCCCCAAGTGAGTTAGAACTTATAATGGTGCGGACAGTAGTTAGATGCGGTCCAAATGGCAATAAAACAATAAAATTTAATTATAAATAGATGTATAATGTTACAAACTTAGAGCTACTTAGGATAAACGAATGTAGTTTCATGTTGTAATTTGAAGTCATTCTAGAAAGAAAAAAAGGTTAATTTAGATTTTTTTTGTGGTTACAAGGTCGGTCAAATTGACCGATCCCGTTTTGAGATAGAGTAGAGAAAATAACAGATAAAGTATGAAGATTTAGTGAAAAAAAACGTTTAAAATGCATTTAGGAGATTTTAGGACTTACACAAAGGAAATGTGAGATTTTTGAGATGATGAAAAGCATTTTTAATTTTAACATGAAAATTACTTTGCACATGGACTATTCAAAACAAATACTCAATATATTCATGGACAAATCTTTATTTTATTTTATTAAAAATACTTCACTAAGAAATATGACTTTTTGTATGTGAAAAAATTGAAATATTAACTGAAAGATCGCCAAATTTCATGAAGATATCCCCAATAAATTGAAAGTTATAAGTATTAAATTTATATCAACTTTAAATGAGTACAATAGATCATGTGACTCAGTCAAATTGACCGACCCTGTGTTGAGAGAGTTAATTAGAAAAATTTCATAAAATCTAGCAAATTTGTGCATAAAAGTTGGCAATGAATAATGGATAATAACCATCCATCCATATAATTATTTTTAAAACTTGAGATAGAAACTATTCTAGTTTGCTAGAGAGGGTTAAGTCTTTCAACCATTTTGTGCTTGTTTTAGTTTTTATGCTATAACTTTTAAATTAGTATACGAATGTTTATGAAATTTGGCAGTTTATCAGTAAATATTACAATGCCTTCATACACAAAATAATTTTATTAAGTTTTAAGGTTTGTAAAGCAATCTTTCTTTCATGCCTTTTTCTTCTTTTCACATCTTGCCTATCTATAATGCAAAGTAATTTTCATCTTAACATTGAAAATAATTTTATGCATCAGAAAACTTCGAAATTTCACATGCAAAATCTTTATAATGTCCAAATAGTTATCAAATGTTTCTTAAGAAAAAACTTTATCTTTTATCTGTTATTTTCAGTAATTAATCTCTGTACAGGTCCGGTAAATTTGACCGATGTCGCAACCACCATAAAAAATTAGGAAATAAACATAAACTATGCATCTTTCATTCTAGAATGAACACAAATTATAACACAAAAACATACA